GAATTAGATCGAGGCTAATTTGGGAAGATTAAGAGGAAGAACTTTTTAATCACGAGGTATGTATTCTCTTTTTTTAATTAGAGAGTAAGTTCTGTAATATTATGATTAGTATATTTAATATAGATTTATTTGAAATTAGAGGTCAAATATTTATATTTCATGCATATTAAATATTGGAAGATATTTAAGATGATAAAAGAGGTTTACTTAGGTTTTATTAAAGTTTATGTTGTAACTAAATAATCTAACAATTCAAATAATTATTCTCTAAATAATTTAATATTAACAAAAGGACGATCCGTAACGGACCGAAATTACGAACCTTGCACAAGGTTATTCCTCAAAACCCGAAATAGATGTGACAATATTTTTACCTAATTTATATTGGTTTTGCTAAATCTATACTAAATGTATATTTATTTCTAACTTAAAAACCCTATCATAACCCTTTTTTTTCCTATTTTTTAAATATTTTTAGAGGGTTTTATGCTTAAATTAGGCATACCACTTGGTATGCCCTAACATACCGCTCGGTACTCCATGACATACCGTATCGAGCAAAGCTCAATGCACCGATACAGTACGAAAGTTCAATCTTCGTAAAAAAAATAGAAAACATTTTAGTTGATAATCAATTTGAAGATTTTATATGGTCGAGTGAAAATTGAGGAAAGATAAAAGAGGGACATGACCAAACTAACGTAACCCTTGCCAACCACTAAATGTCCTACAGGATTTTTCATTTGAAAAATATAAGGCATTTTCCAATTTTTTTTAAAAAGAGCACCATGTAACAGCCCTCCAATTTTAAGGGGAAAATGGAAAATTTAGTTAAAAAATTTTGATTGCTGTACCTGTCCTCCAAAATTGAAGATAACAACTTTCACATCATTTCCAATTCCCAATTCCTCCCTAACCTGATACAACAAAAATGTCAAAGGAATCAGCATAAGCAACTGATAACAAAAATCATTTTCTTTTATCAATACTGCACCTCAAAGCGAGATTTGTGCAACCTTCTCACAACTAGAGGAACATCAATAACATCACGGAAAGCCGGCACTGTAGGTAAAAGAGAGCTTCCACATCAATGTGATAAACAAGCCAGTCAAAACAAATCATGCATAGGAAATGTCAATTCATACTAGGGCAATATCCAGGAAGCCGGAGTAAGAATTCACAGTGGGAGTAATCTTCGGCAATCTGCAACAGATTTTTAACATATACATTCACAATGTTGAAAATTTAAAATAGCAAGATAAGATATAACAAAAGAACACCAACAATTTGACATGAGAAAAGAAACACAAAAAATGAAATAGATAGGAAATCACATATGTTCCTGTAAAATCTAGAAGTGAAGAAACATAAACGACTCAGTAATTTTCATAACAAGTTAAATGAACCATAAAATACTAGTAATTCTAGTTAAAGAAATGCTTCAAGAGAAAAATAAATTCAATATAAAAAGGTAATTTCAGTTAGTATTGCAGATACAGAGACGCAGAAGTTTCCTTGGAATAAAGAAAGACCACATGCAATAGAGATTTAAATTGAAGAGTCTCCTAATACACTGACTGACATGATTATATAAAAATAAAATGGCAGTACATACAGGAAGGTTTCTGATACCCCTATATATTCAATTAGTAAGCAACCAAGAAATATATCCACCGATCTTAAAAAACAAGAAAGAGTACAACCACGAAAATTTAAACAACACAAGATTTGAAAAACAAAAAAATCGAATAGTAAGTAAATAATGTCAAACTTTCCAAATTGTCACAGACAGCTCTACTATTCTCAAAATTGTTGAAGAACACAACAGTGAACAAGGACCTGCCAAACGATTGACCGATGATGATGCCCTGCTTCCATCACATACTCTGCATATATAAAATCCCAACTGCAAAATAAAATAACATAATAATTAAAGACAAAAGAACATTAAAGCTAAGGAACACCGGCTTCTGGATTACTTATATGATGAAAAATAGGAAAAAATAATGGCAACAGCTTTTATCTACTTTATGCAATGAAAAAGTTGAGCTTTTGGCTTCTGGATTAGAGTATTTTTCCTGATCCATGGCCTTTGTTCCATTCTCTACCAACATGCCTACTTTTATTACAGAATACCATTAACCAAGTAATTGTATTGTAAGAATCTATATATATATATATATATATACATATGTAAATGTATATGTGTATATATATACACAAATACATGTGTATATACATATATACATATATATATATATACATATATACATATATATATATATATATATACATATATACATATACATATATATATATACATATATATATATATGTATATATATATATACATATATATATATACATATATATATATATATATACTGTTGATGCAGAAACCTTAGTACTAACAACTAAGTAATTGTTGTCATATTTATTTGGATATAGCTATGTGATTCAAGTATAAATTATTAGAAACCTGAAATTAGTGACACAAACAGAACGAATCCCAGCATCAGCTGCCGCTCGGCATGCCACAGGAACGACATCTGAGACCTGTGTTGAGTAACAATCACAACAAGAAAATCATGGACACAAAAGAATTCCTCCAATGATAAAATTTTCAGTGAAATATCAGTTCACTGCAGAAAGAAGTAAAAAGCATCCAACTATCATGTGAAAAAGAAAACTTGGAGTACCACTAGATCAGCTTTGATAGAATTCAGCCATTCCACTTCAGTTGCCAAAATGGAGGTTCGAGGTACCACAGCTGTCTGATGATACTGCCAGATAATAAAAGAAAAGAAACATCAGAAAAGAATGTACTGAATCAGATATCCAATTGTTGGATAAAACAAGAAGTACATTACCCAGAAAGTGACTAAGAATTCCCGCATACCTTTTCCAAGGAGGCAAGACGATCGACTGTCAAAGCATCAGCTTGCACAGCACCACAGTCCAACAAAACCTGCATGTCCACAACTTCCATCAGAACCTTGGTGAAAAATTTCGCCCAAAACTTTTTCAGTATCTAAAACGACCTTGCGTATATGGAGGTTGGGAGACTGTATCTCGGTGGTGAACACAAACTCTGGAGCACCTGTTACCACATGAACTTCGTGGTCAGCAGCAATGAGATGCCGCACAACCTGCAAGACAAGATTTTCTCTTTTAGACATACATGGCCAAGACCCGGAGAAGAAACCTTCACAAGCAATCTTCGAGGCAGAACCCACCGAGATTTGTGGGGACCCAAGATTGTATAAATAATCTATAATCGCACCAAGTTACCAAACTACCCTCTCATTGGATTTACTTGTATTGGATTTAATCGAGAAGCTGGACTGCCTACCATTTCGATTGGAGAGCCAATCTTTTAGGCTGTATTATGAATCTTGACCGCTTACTATCGACGGAAATACAATTAGAAATCTCACTTTTTAGCCTATTAGACTAAGCGAGCTATGTAAGAATCTACAACAACTCGGAATAAAGGCGAGAGAGGAAGAAGAAGCAGCCGATCGTCGCACCTCGACAACTCGGGTGGCGTGACCGAACCCATGGCCGGTCACGTAATACGCGAAGACAAGGTGCTCCAGCGAAGCAGAGACCCCGCCATCTCCATCCCCGATCCTCATACCAGAACAAACACGACTAAACCCTAGAATTCTCCGATCAAAACCCTATAACGAGAAACGGGACACAGGATGGGACCACGGACCAAAAACCGCGAAGAGGCAACAAGAACTGCACCGTCATGTTCGTCATCCTGATCGATGCCCTTACGTCACGGCACGAGCATCGAGGCGTCGCCGTCGGTTCCGGATTCGTGCAGATGGGACCACGGACCAAAAACCCGGAGGCAAAAGGGTTTAAAGCACTCGTGCGAATACGGCAGCGAAGGAAAGGAAACGGAGGCTTACGTCGACGACGCGGGTGGCGTGGCCGAAGCCATGGCCGGTGATGTAGTAGGCGAAGACGAGGCGGCCGCGGTGGCCATTGCCGATGCTTGGATTCTTCCCGAGCGCCATCGCTTGCCGCGGCAAGATAACTGAACGGCGGAAGGAAGGGCAGGAGGCGCAAGTCGCTTTAACCGAAGGGCTATATATGTATCGCTCTCTGCTCCGCAAGAGATAGAGATAGAGACAGAAGCTTGGGATTTTGCGAGGATAACACGGCAAAAGAATCTACAACAATCGCGTACAGTAAAATGGATACGATACACGACTTGTGTCCTCTTAAAATTGCTTTATGATTAGGTTTTTCCCACGTGTCCATCCTGTAAATACATGAAAGTCGATAATAGAAGGTAAGTCCGTACACTCCTGCATCGAAAAGTAATCATGATAAAATCAAATAATAATTTTTTTTATAGGATCCATGAAAAAAAATATTATTTTGTTAATCGAGGTTTTAATATATCATTTGTTGAAAATGACTGGAGATTATAATAAAAAATAAAGGATAAGATAAACGTTACAAAATCATTCCAATTCAATTGGGTTGTCCATTTTCCGCAGTGATGATGGACAAGTGGATACAGCATGAATAGGAGGTGTAGTGGTGTGGTTGGGCTTGCTTCGTTCGCCTAACCTATACCATATTTCGGCGTCCAATTCGGATGGATAAGTGTGAAGCTCTAATTATTTAATTATTTAAAACTAGTTAAATGTTCTTGGACCATGAGCAATATAAAGATAATATCCTTAACTTGATACACTACCATTTAGGTGATTCGCTTGCAAAAAGTTAAAAGATTCACAGTTTTACCCGACTAAAATATTGATATGCTGATGCTGTACATACACTTGGAAATGTTAACGAATGAAACATTGATATATTGATCGCATAAAATTCACGCATCACTAATACTAATTATTTAATCTCTTCAAGTTTTATTATTAAATCTTTTCATCTTTTTTATGAGAACTATTCACAAAATGTGAGATATTTTGCACTGACCTATAAAGAAGATTATGGGCAATAGCTTGGTAGATCAAAATTAGTAAGCTATACGTTTGCTCAAGTAATGTACCAGATTGAGCTGCTACTCAAAAGAAATCAAAACAGAATGACAATTTTCTGCATTCGACAAGACATGGTAGGAATGCAATCAAAAGGAAAATGGTCGACTGCTCTCTTCCTTGAAACTGTTACGACATCAGTCGACTAGGCGTGTTACGCAGGAACTCGGGAGCCATACAGTGCTGCTGCCACTGCTGGATCACATCAACGTCGATTCCACTAACCGTTTGTTCTCTGTTTTCTTCGACTGCCATGGGTGCCGCTCCAGCTTCTTCAGCTTCCATTGGCTCCTGCGACGACTGGCTCCCGGATTGTGAGCCAGCATACTCATAAGCACCGACGGTAGCCTGGGGCGGCACCCAGGGAACCAGAGCTAAGCAGTTATTGGACACTGGTATTTTGTCATCCATCTTAGCCATAGTTTGATCCCGCAGCCAGAAGACATGATCTGAAAAAAACAAACATGAAAATGCTACAACCAACATTTATTTGTTGTGAATAATGTGTTACATTCAATGCTGAAGATTCGATTTGAAAAGCATCGAAGAGAATTTCTGTTTCAACCGAGGTACTGAATAAAATATCAGAAAAGACAATAAAGGTTTCTACACGGTATTGACATGATGAGAACAGAGCAGATGGCAATTCAACTTGATAAAGTGTCTGATAGCACATCATCAGTAAGAAAAAAATATTGACATAATAGTTCTCCAAGAGTAATCTACGCTACACCAAAGTAAGAGACCAAATTAAATATAAGATGTCCTACTCTTATATAGAGCCAAGAAATTGAACATCAACAAATTAAGGTTTTCAGAAGTACATACTTTTGATACCACGGATCAAATCCGAGCTCACTCTAAAAGAAACATTTGGTCCAACAGGTGACAAAAATGGTGTAGCCTCAGCGGAATCATAAACAAAAGCTCCCTTCTCATTTGGCGGGCATGCAGCTATACTATGAACTGTTACAGGTCTGATATCTGGCATCCCATAGGTGCTTGTGCTAATTTGTTCTATTGGCAGCTGTTGTTTAAATCTTGTCATAGCTGTTGCCTCATTCTCTTCTATCATAGGAAGCATATCGGCATCCTACAAACCCAGGACACAAACATCACAAAAAAGAAAAAAGGGGCTTGAAAAAAAAAATCAGCAGCTAACACAAGACCTAGAGGAAAAGGGGAAGGGAAAAGAAAAAGAAAAAAAAAAGAAAGAAACCCAACAATAAAATGAATGCTTATGACAAGGGCGACAACTGTTAAAAAACACCAGATCCTAGAAAACCTGATTCGATATCTGCTTTTGGTCAATGGATACCAATTTGTATATGACATAAAAAGGATGCTAAATTACCATATGCTCGGATATGTATACGAACTATATGTATGAAGGGGATGAATCATCAACAATAATTAATGAACAAAAACAAACCTTCTATGATATTTATTCAACAAGAATACTCTAAAGCAAATTTGAGAATAGACTGTGGAAAGAGAAAAAGTATACTCTACTTACAAAAATGAATCAAATAACATGCTCTATAATGTCACTACGAATTACTTTAACGCTTGAGATATATAAATATTAGGGTATCAAGATATCGATACAGATTACTATATGAAACCATATTATCCTCCGGTTGGATAGGAAAATGGATTCCGTATCCAACCCAATTTCGTCCCCATCTATGATATTAATTCTTCTCTTTGGACAAAAGGAAGGTACTCCAAGTCATACAATGTCATATCAGCAATACGAATAGTATAACTATCGGACACCCAGAAGAACGGTTACATCATCGATTAGTAGAGTCTCATATGAAAGAATACTGAGAGGCTACGGATCCTGATAGCTGTTAATAATTCACAACTCTATGACTTACGCGATCAAGCATTCAATCCAGTGAACCAAAAACCTAACTTTCAGAACGGGTCGTCGAAACTAATGCTAACCGGAGAGTAGATGTACACCACAGAAAGGTCTTCTTTTCGAATAGAATCAGAATCCAACAAGAAGTGCGTCTTACCAATCTCCTGATCTTCGCAGCCGGAGACGACAGCGAAAAGTACGAGAAATCGTCGTAAACCTCTTCAGGCTCTTTCCTCTTCGCCCTCCCCGTCGAGAAACCAGCCATCTCTGGCGAATCCCCACAACCCGACTCGAAAGATCACCAAAAAGCGAACGGAACCCTCGAACAAAATCGCACGGTTGCAAGGGTTTCGATCTCCTCAGGCTTTTCCCCTTTGCTCCTCTCCGATTGCGTGAGAGCTTCGTTGCCGAGAGGACGACACTAATTCCCTCGCTGCGGAACTCTCTAGAACATCATCGAAATAAACCGAACTTTCTTTTCAGTTTATTATTGTTATTTCTCTATATTCTATCTTCTTTAACCGTTCGCAGAAAATACCATTAAAGTTACTATAATACCCTTTCATCACAGCAACAACACTGTCGTAATTTCATCAGCGATAAAAAGCTTGACGTCTCAACCGTCCGATTAGTTCTGATCCCTCCGAGCTTACTTTATTTATAATAATGAATCACTAATTTTATTTATCATAAATTGATTATGTTGAAATTTGGTTGTACTCAATGAACCACATGACCAACCATTTTGTGGTTAGCTATTCTATTTTATTTTATAAGTAGAAACCCTTTTGGAATGAAAAGCATGAGCTTTTTCTTGATTCAAGATTAAAAATATTTTTATTTTTTATGTAAATATTAATATAGTTTCCTCCCTAAGATCAAACATCAAAGGAAATCAATATGTTAGATATTCTACATAATCTAATACTAAAATAGAAACAAATCATATTTTTTGATTATATCTATTGATATGATTATATGATCAAAATCACTTTCCTGCATAATAATTCTATAGAAGGATACTATTGTGTCGAGCAAGCAAGCATCACTCATTTCAAACATGGTGATATCAATGATTTTAGAAAAGGTACTAGGAAGCATCATTAATTTTAGATATGTCCAAATTATGATACATCATTGATTTTGAATATGGTTATATGAAGCTATAAATCATCATTCATTTTGAACATAGTGATATCACTCTAAAACATTCTAGATATGATCATGTCAGGTTAACAAATGTCATTAATTTTTTTTATTTTAGATGTGATCATATCGTTCTCGTTTAGGAGAGATTATATATTTCATAATATTCAGATCCTAGTTCGTTGATGAGCTCTCACAACCTTTAGTAGTGATCCATATGATAGATGAAGTGACGAATATGTGTAACCCTCTAGGCCCATTACCGAACTGGCTGTGAGTTTCACTTGTCAACGTTCATTTTGACTCAGTGAATTATTATCTCCATAATAATTCATTCAACTCACTAATAATTCTTCCGTCGAGGCCATCGACGTTCACTAACGATATTCTTTCCAACAACTACCCTTATAAACTCTTTCTACTTTTTACAAGCTTATGAGAGAACTTTCACACCCCTCTTTTACAAGTTTTTCCTCACATACATCCCTTAGGACTATCACTAAACTCTAGAAGGAGGGACTCTATACTTTAAGATATTACAACCTTAGAATTAGAGAGTTTTTATTCTACTTTTATGCATTACCTAAGTAGGAATTTGTGGGATATTTATAGACTTCAAATGACTTCAAAAATTAGAGTCAAAATTCAAATCCTTATATTTTCGGAGTACTAACGGTACCATCGCTAGTACTAGGCGATACCACCGCCTAACATAGTGACATTGGATGGTACCATCGTCTAATCTGGGCAGTATCACCGCCTGACCTGATTATAAGTCATTGGATGGGCCAAACAATAGGTCCAATTCAACCTTAATTTAGGCCCAATTGGCCCATAATCAAGTTGGCATGGTTATACCCAAAACCAACTCAATTAGACCTAATTAACTCGATCTAGATACACACAATTACAAGCATGAATCTTATGTTGTCCGACATATCATTGGTTCGTCCAACGCTTCGTCCGATCTTTCGGCGCATCGTCCTCTCTTTCGACGTATTGCCCAATCGGCATGTTGACTCTTGCAACTTTCGATCTTCTTCGTACAATGTCTGATCCTTCGACCCGATGCCCAAACTCATGGCACGAAGTCCTTTCGGCCCGATCTAATATGTTTTACTCCGGCCCAACATCTAATTCTTCTTACTTTAATTGAATTGTCTTTCCTTCATCGAGGTTGGTCTTATGTCACTCAAATGCATATTAGATCATAATCTCATCAATTGATTTTATCATCAAAATATGAGATTTAATAGGATGAAGTTGCCCAATATTACCATTTCGTTAGGGATAGAAGGTTTGATGTCCTAGCTATCTGATTATTTTTTATGCCTCTGAGCTGTGACTATAACTTGATTACGTTGAAATGTAGTTACACTTATGAATCATATGACCAACCATTTTGTGATTAGCTATTCTCCATTTTAAATAAAAACTCTTAAGGAATGAAAAGTTGAGCTTTTTCTTCATTCTTTTTAGAAGATAATGAAATATCTTATTCTTTTATATAAATATCAATTTAGTTTCCTCTATAAGATCAAGCATAAAAAAGAAATTAATATGTTAGATATTTTACATAATCTAACACTAAAACCTAACTAACTCGATCTAGATACACACAATTATAAGCATAAATCTTATGTTGTCCGACATATCATTGGTTTGTCAAATGCTTCGTCTGATCCTTCGGTGCATCGTCCTCTCTTTCGACGTATTGCCCAATCGGCATGTTGACTCTTGCAACTTTCGATTTTTTTAGTGCAATGTCTGATCCTTCGACCTGATGCCCAAACTCATGGCACGAAGTCTTTTTGGCCCGATCTAATATGTTTTACTCCGGCCCAACATCTAATTCTTCCTGCTTTAATTGAATTGTCTTTCCTTCATCGAGGTTGGTCTTGCGTCACTCAAATGCATATTAGATCATAATCTCATCAATTTATTTTATCATCAAAATATGAGATTCAATAGGGTGAAGTTGCCCAATATTACCATTTCGTTAGGGATAGAAGGTTTGATGTCTCAACTATCTGATTATTTTTTATGCCTCCGAGCTGTGACTATAACTTGATTACGTTGAAATGTAGTTACACTTATGAATCATATGACCAACCATTTTGTGATTAGCTATTCTCCATTTTAAATAAAAACTCTTAAGGAATGAAAAGTTGAGCTTTTTCTTCATTCTTTTTAGAAGATGATGAAATATCTTATTCTTTTATATAAATATTAATTTAGTTTCCTCTATAAGATCAAGCATAAAAAGAAATTAATATGTTAGATATTTTACATAATCTAACACTAAAACAAAAACAAATCATCTTTTTTCGATTATAACTACTGATACGATTATATAATAAAAATTAATTATTGAACAAGCAAGCTTCATTCATTTCATATTGATTTTAGAAAAGGAATTACAAAGCATCATTTATTTTAGATACGTCTAAATATATCATTAATTTTAAATATTATTATATCAAGCTATAAATGATTTTCGATATGATGGTATCACTCTAAAAAGTATTATTAATTCTTAACATAATGAAGCTCATTGATTTTGAACGCGATTATATCCGTTCAAGAAGTGTCATTAGTTTTTTTATTTTAGATGCAATCATATCAAATTGAAAAGCATTAATACTTTTTAAAGCATCAATACCCTTCGATGTGATCGCATTGAGCCATAAAATATAAAAAGGATATGACCATAGGAACGATGGATAAGAAGCTAGGATGGAGTAGGATACCTTGATCATTAAAACATTCTCATGATCATAAGTTTATACCTTCAATTTTGCATAACCCCTCATTCGATTATATGGTAGCCACACAAACTAAACTCTTTTACTGTAGATAATGATTCATCAAAGTAGATTATCATAAACTTTTCTAGATACTCCTTATATAATTGATTCATGAGAATGCATCAGAGCATTGATTAAACTGAAAGGTATCACCAAAAACTTAACGGTCTATACTTGATCACATAGATAGTCTTCGTTTCATCACCTTTAGTTATGCACACCTACCATTACCCCAACAGAAGGTCGAGTTTAGAGAAATACTTTATTTTGTCTAATTAGTCGAACAAGTTTATAATGAGTAGGATGAGATATTTGTTTTTTACTGTCATCTTGTTTAAGGCTTAATAATCTATACGTAATTGGAGTCTCATATCTTATTTCTTTTGGAAGAAAATTAGAGCTTTGAATAGTGTTTTGGAATTACATATGAGACTACTGCTTATCAATTCATCTAGTTGCTTCCTAAACTCTACTGACTTTGGAGGGGTCATGAGGTATAGTAGTCTCATTAGAGGCTTCACGCTCGACTCTTGCTTGATGTGGTGATCCATGCATTTGTACAACAATATAGTTTTTGGCAACTCAGGTGGCACAACGTTTATAAATTCTTTTAAGACTTCAGCCACCGTAGTAGATTCATGAGTAACCTCCGCATCAAGTGGCTCTAGCTTTATTATTATTTCTCTATGTTTCATCCTACTTTTCTAGTCGGTTGTGAGAAACACCGATGAAGTTATCGTAATGCCCTCATCATCAAGGCAACGGAGCCGGGTGAAGTTGCCCAGTGTCATCATTGCATCAGGGATAGAAGGCTTAAAGTCCCATCTACTTGATTATTTTTTATGCCTTTGACTTGTGGTTATAATCGTGATCGATCTTGTAACTTTAACGAAGATATCAATATCGTTACTTTGTTCATCATAGGGAACTAATAATTTCATTTATCATAACTTGATTGCTTTGAAATGTAATTACACTTATGAACCACATGATCAATCATTTGTGGTTAGCTGTTCTACCTTATAAGTAAAACCATTGAGGAATGAAAAGCTTGAGTTTTTTTCTCGATTCCTTTTAGAAGATAAAAAATATCTTATTTTTATATAAATATTAATATATTCTTTTTATAAGATCATGAAAGAAATTAATATGTTAGATATTCTACATAATCTAACACTAAAATCAAAACAAATCATATTTTTCGATTGTAACTATTAACACAATTATATGATAAAAATCACTTTCCTTCATAATATTCTATATGATTATGCTATTGTGTCAAGTATAGGTAAGCGTTATTCATTTCAGACACCCAAATTGGTCATGAAACAATATTGATTTAGAAAATATATTATAAAGCATCATTCATTTTAGATATGTCTAAATTATGATGTTTCATTAATTTTGAATGTGATTATATCAAGCTACAAATCATCATTGATTTTAGATGTGATGGTATGGCTCTAAAAAGTATTATTAATTCTTAACACAACGAAGCATCATTGATTATAGATGGGATCATATCAGGTTAATAAGTGCCATTAATTTTTTATTTTAGATGCGATCATATCAAATTGAAAAGCTATGAAACATAGAAAGGACATTTCATAAGAATAATGGATCAAAAAGTTAGGATAAAGTAGGAAACCTTGATCATTGAAATTTTATCATGATTATAAGTTTTCACCTCTAATCCTGCATGACTCATCGTAGGATTTTATGATAGCCACATAAACTAAACCTTCGTAGTGTAGACAACGATATCATTAAAGTAGATGATCATAAACTTATCTAGATACTCCTTGAAAAATCGATTTATGAGTATACTGCTAGTCATAGGTGCCCAATAAGCCAATCAC